TGCAGCTGGATTGGTTGCTGATGAAGAAACTATGAAAGATTCTTGTAATACTAATATGTTTGCGCACTATGGGCAGCTACCGGCATACCATATACACGATCATTTCAATCTTCAAAGTACCAATTTATAGAGAACCAAACATGGTATAGGTGAGGTTACATTGACTGTTGGTTCTATTATAAAATACACAGAATTTTAAAGTATTAAAAGACACTACAGAAGACAGTAAATTATCACACACAATGTCCTGGGATGCATGTTCATTTATAGATCAGTTCATCTATAAATGAATGCAGGAAGGTCTGTATTAAGGGCTGTACGTCTTTCCTATGGCTTCCGTCTTGACTATTTTTCACAGCAATAAATACATCTTATCTGATCGTCGCCCTGGCGACTGAAACCTTTCCTGCTCTCTTGTCTCTTTTGGGGGATGTTTCATTCCTAAGAGTGGGCTTTGAAGCTTATTTGTTAAATGTAACCAATAGTTATGTGTCTGATTGTCTGAGTCGTAACACAGTATAAATTCAGTAACTTATCTTTGATTTTTCCAGATCTGGTCCTGTGGGCGTCAGTATCACACAGTGATCACCGTTCACACCTGCAGTGAAGCCCCTCCCACAACAATTTACCAATAAATACTGGGAATATTCCCATCATCCTACAAGAGGAGGACAAACTCCAGGAGTAGCAGCTGAAATCTGTGTGACTGTTAAAGATGGAGTTTATTAAAGTGGAGATTGAAGACATGAGTGATCCAGAACCATCCAGAATAAAACATGAAGATACTGAGGAACAAATAGGTTGGTGTCCATTCTTGATTCTTCATTGTTGACGCTTTGGTGGCTCTGAAATAATAAGCAGTATATGGATGATACATGATAGAAAAATGCACCTAAATGATCAAAACCCAGTTTTCATCGTATTAACCCTTCTGTTACTCAAATCTGATAACATTTATTACCCACTGGGGTCAATTTGACCCCAGTAATTTAAACCTCCACAATATGATTTTTTTTTTTTTTTTACAAAGGTTTGTCTCAGGTAATTTAGGTATTTGTTGACTACTTAAGTAACCTTTTAAGTTAACATCCACCCACCACCCCCCTCCCCACCCCTTATACATCCAGAATACCCATTGCACGACTATGGACAAATTTACAAATTACCATAAAATCTTACTGATTGACCTAAAATTATAAAAAATATAAATAGTATAAATATACAGTATTTGGTGTTTTATAATATTTCTAAGTATAGATTTTTGTAATCTATAACATTTGGAAAGAAAAACTATTTATTTTATCAAGGATAGTAACACGAGTTATGTGTGGGGTCAATCTCGCAAAAATGATGTTTTCCCCTCCCCCATGGCACGGGAAACATCAAAGTTCTCGCAAAAATGATGTTTTCCACTCCCCATGGCACGGGAAAGAATTATTAGTTCTCATGAGAATTATATCACATGTCATGTGAACTACTAGTGGTTCTCGCAATACTACAGATATGGTTATGTTAGTTTAGAGCCCTAAAACAGAGGGACTTTTTTGAATATAATATATATGTAAAATTATAATGAACATTATAAATTCACATTATAACATGTTATAGTGACCTCAATAAAACAACCAAAACAATGTGTGTGAAATTGTAATATGTTTTCTGTTTTATTATACAGCTAAAAGAGCCTGGGGTCAAATTGACCCCAAGGAACACCGATGCTACAAAATGTGTACAGGACATTGAAAAAATATCAGCAGGTTAATTTTATATGTACAGAGTTGTCCCCATTAAATTAGGAAAAGTCATTAAATTTGAAGCAAAAAAAAAAAATCATGTATTTACAGACGTTAAACATTGAATGGGGTCAAATTGACCCCAAAGATAATAGGAGGGTTAACACATCAAAGATACTTAGGTAACATTTTACAACAAGGTCTTATGTGTTAACATTACCTAATGTATTAACTAACATGAATTAACAATGAGAAATACATTTATTGCAGTATTTTTTATTTATTTATTTATACATGTATCTTTGTTAATGTTGGTTAATAAAATATAATATATAATTAATGCTGTAGAAGTAATGTTTATTGTTAGACCATGTTAACTAAATTAGTTAACTAATGTTAACTAAGTGTTTTGTCTAATAAGTGTTCTTAATTTTCAGCTTTTATCTCATTGAACTGATTCTAACTGCTTAATACATTTATTTTAGACCAGAAGAAAGTGGAAGAGCAACGACACAAACTAAATCACGTAATGAAACACTGTGACTTCAAAACTCAAGGAACAAAAGTCAAAAAGCTGCACTCCTGCTCTCATTGTGAAAAGAGTTTCCCCAAAAAAGGAAACCTTAACAGACACATGCGAATTCACACTGGAGAGAAACCGTATACATGCTCACAGTGTGAGAAGAGTTTTTCTCGAGCATCAGGTCTCAGTAAACATCTGCGCCTTCACTCTGGAGAAAAACCATTTAACTGTGATCAGTGTGGTAAAGATTTTAATTTGTCATCAGATCTTAAAAACCACCTGAAAGTTCATTCAGATGAAAAGCCTTATGTGTGTTCTCTCTGTGGAAAGAGTTTTCCAAGGCTGGACAGTTTTAAACTGCACCAGAAAATGCATACAGGTGTGAGAGATCACGTGTGCTTTGACTGTGGGAAGAGCTTTACTACACCTAGTCATCTGAAACGGCACCGAAGAATTCATACTGGAGAGAAACCGTATCCATGCACTCTGTGTGGAAAGAGTTTTTCTCAAGCATCAGGTCTCAGTGTTCATCTGCTCCGTCATTCTGGAGAAAAACCATTTAACTGTGATCAGTGTGGAAAATATTTTACCTTGTCATCAGATCTAAAAGACCACCAGAAAGTTCATTCAGATGAGAAGCCTTATGTGTGTTCTCTCTGTGGAAAGAGTTTGTCACGGTTAAAGAGTTTTAAAGTGCACCAGAAAACACACAATGAAGTGAGAGATCATGTGTGTTGTGACTGCGGGAAGAGCTTTACTAGAGATGACTGTCTGAAACGGCACCAAAGAACTCATACTGGAGAAAAACCTTACAAGTGCTCATATTGTGACAAGAGTTTCACTCGGTCAGAATCTCTGAAATCACATGTGCAACTTCATACTGGAGAAAAGCCGTGATTACTGTACTCAGTGTGGGAAGAGTTTTTATTGTTTACTAAGTGTACTAAATTGTCTTCTGATAGTACATGCAATTATGATAAATAAAACAGAAACATATTGTCTTGATTTATTTATTTAATGAACCCATAGAATTTGTTATATGTTTTAATCACATTAATGAGTTTTTTTGATGAGTTTTAGTTTTTTTATACTGTGATAAATATGTTTGGATACAGTATTATTGTCAATCAAATGATTAGGTCTTGTATCATACAAAGAGGTTGGAGTTAATTTTTATCCTTCATTATTGACTGCTGAAGAACAATAAAGTAACAAAGCTTCAGTTTACCATATTTGGTGGATGTAGATAGAAAATTATAGAAGCTGTAAAATATGAAACAATAAACAAACGTTTGAAAGTAAACGTCTTTAAATGTATATATTTTGTCGTATAATATACATTATAATATATATAACCTCACTGTGTGGGGTTGTTACACCAATTTGACGCTGGGAGAATAAACGGACATGTTTTTAAATTGACCAAATTAAGTTTGTGTACATATCTTTCACGCTCTATGGCAGGCAGGGTAGACATATAATTACTTGCCTTGTTTTATATAAGTGATTTCTGAAGTTAGTTACGCCTGTCGGCTGTGTACGGACGTTGGTTTTTGCCGTTATTTTGTATTGAAGTCTATGGGGAGTCTAGTTTGTTTTCCCCCAAAAGGGAGCGGGGACAAAATTGACAGTTAAGTGCCCGGATGTGCCAGTTGTGCGTATCATATGCACATTTTAGAATCTCACCAGAAGTAGTAGGTCATCCAGGTACTTTTTTGCCTAATCGTTTATGAGTACTGTGTATTCGGATATACTTCTTTTCATATACTGTTTTTCGCCTACTATTGGGAAGTATGCGATTTCGGATGCAGCCTATGTGATTTACGTAGGAATATGCGGCCCCTTTAAGAAGAATGACACCGCGCGTAGTGAGCATGCGCAGACGAATGTAGGGCGAGTGGCTGAGAGGAGCAGCGCATTCAGTCGACGCTGTTTTGTTCAATATTAACCATTCGGTTGCTTCTTACCTGAGCGATGTTTTTATGTTTAAGTTAACTATAGTAGAAGTCAAAGCTGTCTTCATCTTATGTGTATGGTGATTTTGTCAGACGACGTCTCGAATATAATTCAGGATTTTAGTGAAGAGCAGCTGCTTAGAAATGACTGCTGGTTAACATGTATGGGTCTCGTTTCAGTCACTATTTCATATTCTTCCCGTTGTCTGACAACATAAACAGAAAAATATTGAAAACAAGTTTATTTTAAAGGGCTGACAGTCGGCTGAATGCAAATGCGACGTAACAACGTCATTAGCCCATGACGTTATCTTCCGATCGTGAATGAAGGACAAACAAACATGGATTATTTTCTCCAGTCTGCAGGTGAGAGATGTTTCTCGGATTACAGACTAGAGTTTAACATTAAACAGCTACACAGTTTTTACGTGTTAATAATTACTTAGAGTAATAATATATTGGCAGAGAGTTTTTCCACATAGCCTACTCTGTTTCAGCCTGTTGTTGACAGCAATATAATGTGCCACTTTACAGAAGATTTCAGACATCACTATAATGAATGAGGTGAAAACGGAATTTTTATAGACGAAGATGCTTGATGGCTCTGTTGTTTCTGTCAGACTTTGTTTTAAATTGAACTAATTTCTAATTGTATCAAAATACTCCATATTTCTAACAGAAAACACATGTTCACTTAATTTACATATAATTAGTATTTCAGTTAATTCAGTATATATTTAGTAACTTATTTTTTTAATTGGGCAGATCTGTTGTTACTGGGAATATTCCCATCATCCTACAAGAGAAGGACAAACTCCACGAGTAGCAGCTGAAATCTGTGTGACTGTTAAAGATGGAGTTTATGAAAGAGGAGATTGAAGACATGAGTGATCCAGAACCATCCAGAATAAAACATAAAGATGCTGAGCAACAAACAGGTTGGTGTCCATTCTTGATTCTTCAGCCCAGGATCAATGGGAAAACGTACCTGTGGTAGCATTTATGCAAAATGATATTCCGTTGCATCGTGCATGTTTCGCGACAGTTTAAGCGTGTTCAGTTTTATACGAAAACAGATTAACTTGATTCTGGCAACGTTTTATTATGTTGGTTATCACCACAGTACAGAATGGAAATGTCCGGCGGTAATTGGCTCTAAAGGGTTAATGTCCATTGTGTTTTAAAATAGCGTACACATACACTAACGCCGCCTTCACACTGGCAGTTGAAATCAGCTCCGATACGGCTCCGAAACGACCGGAAGTCATTCATTTCCTATGGAGATTCGCAGACCGCATGCGAATGGGTCCGAAACGGGTCCGACCGAGTGCGGTGCGAAGAAAATCGTGTCCGTTGGTCATCCGGATGCGTTAAAAAAATGGAACTCTTGCGAAAAGCTACGGACGGTTCTTATCCGACAATTCCAGCGGAAGTTAGCGTTGCTATGATACTGATAAACAAACCTGAATTCTTATCGTTATAAAATCATTATTTATTTTATTAAAAGTTAAGTTGTCATGTTATTTTTTTTTTTGATTTGCTAACGTTATTAGGGCAGTTAATACAATTAAATTGTAGGCAGACATCGAACTAAATATGATATAGTGGTATAAATTATACCACTATATCACATTTTTTAGCCGACCTGACATGTCAACGTCCTGAGCAACTTTCCTCACGCAGCAGCCTTCCTATTAATATCTCTATAACCCTCATCAGAGAGATCATACAGAACTGACAGAATCAACCTTTCTAATCTCTCCGCCATTTTTGTTCTACCCGCTTCCGACGCTTTTCACTGTGTAGTACGACGTCCGTTGGGGGCGTATTGCGTATTACGGAGCTGATTTCAACTGCCAGTGTGAAGGCGGCGTTAACCCTAAACCTACCCGATGGTGTTAATAAAATCAAGTTTACCTAAAAATGCAGTTGCTGAAGCAACTATGCCATTTTAGCTTCTTTCTAGTTCGTCTTTGAGATCTTTTGTCGTCACTCGTGTTTGTTTGGATTCGTACTCAAGATCTCAGCTTCACAAGTACAATTCTGTATCAGTTGAGCCTCCGAACAAGCTTATCATCTCAGAAAAGTCAAACACATGTTATGTGATGCAAACTCCAAAATGTATTCGTTAACAAATTATGCACTGCGGTAAAAAGTGTTTTGAGGTCATTAATGAATGAGGCATTTATATAGCGTTTTCATATGTACTACTGTACCAAAGCGCTTTACAATCATATCAGGGGTTCTCTCCTCAACCAGCACCAGTGTGCAGCATCCACTTGGATGATGCCACGGCAGCCACAGTACAACTGCGCCAGTGCGCTCACCACACACCAGCTATAGTTGGGGAGGAGAGAGAGTGATAGAGCCAATTCAGTGGATGGGGATTATTAGGATGCCATGATTGGCAGGTGCCATGGGATTTTTAATGACAACAGAGAGTCAGGGCCTCGCTTTAACGTCTCATCCGAAGGACGGTGCTCTTTGACAGTATAGTGTCCCCGTCACTATACTGGGGCGTTAGGACCCACACAGACCACAGGGTGAGCGCCCCCTGCTGGCCTCACTAACACCTCTTCCAGCAGCAACCTGGTTTTCTCAGAAGGTCTCCCATCCAGGTACTAACCAGGCTCAGCCCTGCTTAGCTTCAGTGGGCAACCAGTCTTGGGCTACAGGGTGATATGACTGCTGGCATTAAATGATATTTTGCAAGGAGCCGTGTGAAATTGACTCTTTATTTATTTAAAAAAAAAAAAAAAAAAAAAAAAAAATATATATATATATATATATATATATATATATGGGTGATTCTTCAACTATGGTACTCTTTGAGCTAGACAGTTTCAGAAAATAAAAACATTTCTACAAACAGTTTTTTAGTATCATTTGGTTTCTCAATCTGTCTAGAAACCTTCCCTTAAGTTGGCTGTGCTGATTTGTATTGAATAATATATATATTTTGCCATTTTTATCTGACAGTCCAAGAAAACGGTCATTTCCATCACATAGCAAAACTTGTGTTTTGAAGAGAAAATAATTAAATATCTTCTGTAATAAATATATTTGATTAAATAGCACACACATCTCTGATCAAATTTGTAATTGATTTATTTTTCAGAAATGTAACTGTAAAGATTTTACAATGTTTACACTAAAAACACCTAAAACTAGATGCCTGGAACATTTCATTTACTTAATATAGCTCAAAATCATGTATTTCTTAAAGTGTATACACATATCTTACCCCTAACTGCACAATTATCAACACCACTGAATATAGTTGGTTTGATTGTATGTTTTTTATATGTTTTACTTTAAAATATGTGTTGTGGTGGAAATGACATGGCGTGGCGGAAGAGACAGTGTGTGGCGGAAATGACATAGATAGGCAACTTCCAATTAAAAACTCTTTTTCTACTGCTCTATGTGGTGAACCAGAGCAAACCAATAAGCAACAGCATTAGTAAACAAAAACATATCAATATTTTTAAATGAAAAACAATCCAAAAATGAAAAAAAAAAACATGAATATGTGTTAAAAATCAGCAAATCATTTATTCACTGCTTTCTACATGCTGAACTTGGACAAACTAGTTCAAATTAGAGCAAACCCTTTATGACATCATTACCTTAATATAACCTTAATATACACAAGACACAATACACAACCCTCAGGGTCCACATCCTGTATAATGCCAGGGTAAGGATCCCTATCATACCGTACCACACACCAACTTCCAATCAGTCCCTCACACTGTCAAAAATTGCTGTAATAAAAGGGCAAAACTTTGACAGTAACATGCTAGTTTCCATTAAAACAGCAATATACTGTAGAAAAAATGCATTCTGGGTGATATATGTAGTTTTCGAGAAAGTAGCCTACAGGAATATACTGTGAATTAACAGCGCGTGTGCTTAGAATTATAAGGTTCTTTCTCCGTTTAGGGAACTTCTGAGATATTGAGCATCAAAGTTTTTACATCCCTGCTGGTTTGTGAGATGGAACCTTTTTATTTTATTAATAACTACTAACAAAATATATTTTTTTACAAAAATAACACCACACACCTAATGGATAAGATTATGTCAAAAACTCAATTTCGACCAAAAGTGGAGATAGAACCTTATAATTCTAAGCTCACGAGCGCTCAAAGTCAACACTCAGAGACTGTGTTCCAAATCACACCCTATACCCTTATTCACTATTCCCTACATTACACTGTAAACCCGAATAAGTTGGCACAACTCAAAAAATTTAAGGCAATAAATTGCCTCAAATTTTTTAAGTTAAGAAATTCAAAAAGTTTAAGTAAGCAGAACTGACATATTTTTATTTTGTGTTTGTACATTTGAATTGTTCTTAACTTGAAATGTTTGAGTACACTAATTCATACATTTAACTTAAAATTTCATGTAATCTCAATGTGAACACTTTTATTAGTATAAACTTAGCTAGCTTTAACAAGCTAGTTTGCTAACATACTATTTTGTTAACTTCTTAACAATAGTATGCTATACAGTAACACTTGCAGCAATATAAAGGTTTTATTTGCTCTCAAATCAAGCTCATGCACCACTTGTCACCATGATGGTAACTATCCTAAAACCAACATTAACAGAAATTCTTCTAAATTAGCATAACGAAACATTAATCATTACTAAATCACCCGCTTAACATTAATCTTGCACAAAAAAACATTGTATTACACTTAATTTTAGCATTTACTCTCCCTTTCGAGTGCCATCGGCAAAGCATGCTGGGAAATATACATCCCAGCCGTTTCAGTTAAACTTAAGTTCGTCTAAATTAAAAAAAAAAAATTTCATAAAACTCAAAACAATGAAACAGTTCAGTTTACTTCAAATATATCCATTCTGTGAACTTGAAAGAAAAAGAAAGTGCTAAATACTCATAAAAGTTAATTTGACTGAACTAATTAGTTTAATTTAAGTTTGTCCTACTCAAACCAATTAAGTATTTTGAGCGTTAGGGTTTACAGTGTAGTTCACTAATATAGTCATTTGACTGAGTGATTAAAACAAGTGAGTTAATTCAGACACTGATGAACACCTGCTGTTAACAAGCAAAATCACTGAAGGAAAGAGGAACAAGAAGAACAGAAAAAAGATTAAATCAACTGAAGATAAAAGACATTAAATCTGTGAAGATCTCAGCAGAGGAGGATTAAACAACTCCACAAACAGCATTACCAGCTTTACTTATTACTATCCAGTTTGACTTTATGTCTGACGTCTACAGAAGTTCTTATTAAAAGGTGACAGAGGTTTAGATGTAATTTTATTTTCATTTGATGTTACCATGATGGTGATCAGTGTTTGGTTTAGTTGGGCTCTTGACCCTTCACTTTTGAACATTAGTTTTTCTTTGGCAGTGGTAACAGTGTTTTTTAAATACATTTGCTATTGGAAAAGAAAAACTGAAAGAAAACAGGATTAGATGACAGTGACTATTTGTTAGGGCTATAACGATACACCAAACCCACGATTCGGTTCGTATCACGATTTTTGACCCACGATTTGGTTAGTATCACGATTCTATAACGGGGGCGGGGCTTAGGGGTGAAAAAAAAAGATTTTGAGAGAAAGAAAATATATTTTTATTAAATAACATCTGAAAACCCTGTGTAAACTTAACACCAAAGAACAATATTAACTATGCAAATTATTATACTAAACTAAGCAGTGTAGGCTGCTGATTTTGGGTTTGCTTTCTGTGCTTCAACTAAATTGATTTCGGGATGGTGCCGTAAGATATGCATCTGCATGTTGGACGTGTTGCCGGTCATTTGAGGAAGCTTCTTAAAACACTTACAGCAAATTGTGTGGGTCTTGTCAGTAGATCCAATGCTACCACATCTTTAAATTACTATTAGTATTATTTGAACTTAACATTATAAAATATGTAGACCTACACCACAAAACTATTGAGGATCAATTAAAATTGGGCAATTTCAGCGTTATGGACGTGACATTTGCAGTCAAAACTTGAAATATAAATTCTCAGAAAATGCATTTAATACCAATATATTTTTATAAAAAATAATAAAATATTTCCTTACTACCTTAACTTAATTAAATGTTTTTTTGCATTTAAATTTTAGTATTATAGCCCAAAATAATTTGCTGTTTAGCATGAACAATGTCATTTCCACCACAACCTGTCTTTACCATCACAATGAACACCGTGGTGGAAATGACTGTGGTGGAAATGACATTTCCTCCCTTTCCCTCTAAAATATCATGCTATGTTAGCCTGCTAATATTCATTTTAGAGTTAGCATTAAATATACACAAATTACACATCATTAAATTAAATTTATCCAGTTATTTTTACGTCCATGTGAAATATGAGCCGTTTGGAAATGACGACCAATAAACATACTCTCAGTTTTACTCATATTTACCTTGATTTTTCTTCTTTACATTACCCCCTAAAGAGGTCACCCTTTCACCCAGCCATGTGTTCCACTGTGGAGTTTCTGTTGCTATGGTTACTAAGTAAACAAACCTAAAACAATGATCCCAGGATTCTATTTTGTACTGTGTGGTGGAAATGACAGTGAACCCAAGGGACAGGGGTTCTACTTATGAAAAATATAGGAAAATGTTAATAAATATTGCAATATATAATATGTATAATTGAAATAGATATTATTTTATCATTTGTACTTAAAATCTACATCATTTAAATATTTAATTTAGAATTAAGCAAGGTTGAAGGTACAAAGTCTGGCTTAGGGACAGAGGCAAAACAGTAAAAATCATGCATAAAAGGCCTCATAATATATAATAAAAAGAATGATTGAGCCATGATACATTTTTTATAAGTTCCCCTTAGGGTGAAGTAAATGTGCCAAAAACAAAAAAGAAGAAATGTTTTTTAGATTTTATTATTTCATCCAGGGACAAGAAAAGTACCATAGTTAAAGAATCACCCATATATATATATATATATATATATATATATACACTCACCGGCCACTTTATTAGGTACCCCATGCTAGTAACGGGTTGGACCCCCTTTTGCCTTCAGAACTGCCTCAATTCTTCGTGGCATAGATTCAACAAGGTGCTGGAAGCATTCCTCAGGGAGTTTGGTCCATATTGACATGATGGCATCACACAGTTGCCGCAGATTTGTCGGCTGCACATCCATGATGCGAATCTCCCGTTCCACCACATCCCAAAGATGCTCTATTGGGTTGAGATCTGGTGACTGTGGAGGCCATTTTAGTACAGTGAACTCATTGTCATGTTCAAGAAACCAATTTGAAATGATTAGAGCTTTGTGACATGGTGGAAGTAGCCATCAGAGGATGGGTACATGGTGGCCATAAAGGGATGGACATGGTCAGAAACAATGCTCAGGTAGGCCGTGGCATTTAAACGATGCCCAATTGGCACTAAGGGGCCTAAAGTGTGCCAGGAAAACATCCCCCACACCATTACACCACCACCACCAGCCTGCACAGTGGTAACAAGGCATGATGGTTCCATGTTCTCATTCTGTTTACGCCAAATTCTGACTCTAACATCTGAATGTCTCAACAGAAATCGAGACTCATCAGACCAGGCAACATTTTTCCAGTCTTCAACTGTTCAATTTTGGTGAGCTCTTGCAAATTGTAGCCTCTTTTTCCTATTTGTAGTGGAGATGAGTGGTACCCGGTGGAGTCTTCTGCTGTTGTAGCCCATCCGCCTCAAGGTTGTGCGTGTTGTGGCTTCACAAATGCTTTGCTGCATACCTCGGTTGTAACGAGTGGTTATTTCAGTCACTGTTGCCCTTCTATCAGCTCGAACCAGTCTGGCCATTCTCCTCTGACCTCTGGCATCAACAAGGCATTTCCGCCCACAGAACTGCCGCTCGCTGGATGTTTTTTCTTTTTCGGACCATTCTCTGTAAACCCTAGAGATGGTTGTGCGTGAAAATCCCAGTAGATTAGCAGTTTCTGAAATACTCAGACCAGCCCTTCTGGCACCAACAATCATGCCACGTTCAAAGTCACTCAAATCAACTTTCTTCCCCATACTGATGCTTGGTTTGAACTGCAGGAGATTGTCTTGACCATGTCTACATGCCTAAATGCACTGAGTTGCCGCCATGTGATTGGCTGCTTAGAAATTAAGTGTTAACGAGCAGTTGGACAGGTGTACCTAATAAATTGGCCGGTGAGTGTGTATATATATATTTTAAAGGATTTAAAGTGTTTGCTGTTTTTCTGCCTCTACTAGTGTTCATTTCTGTTGGAAACTGCAGCGATATGTATGTATTGGAACATGTTTTGCAGAAATGTTGCCCCAGGAAGGTTTTTCCAATGAGCCTGTGTTGCGATTCTTCCTCGTTGACTGCTGAGAAACATTAAAACTGAAGTTTAACAGATTTAAAATATAGAAGTGTATCTAAATGATAATCTTGTATAGCTTTTGTCATGCACATTTTGATTGTATTAATACACACAAGAATGACAGAACTAACCTTTGCCTAATCCAAAATTTGACACTTTATACAGATACCTGGGGCCGTATTCACAAAGAATTTTATCTTACCACTAGGAGTACTCCTAAATCGCACTAAAATATAGTTTTCTCTTAAAAGTTATTCACAACGCCTTTCAGACCTACTCTTAGTAAGGAAAAATGACAACTCCTAAACTAAGAGTGAGTCTTCGTTGCTATGGATGACGTCAATTCTCATGCACGAGCTTCCTCGCAATGATCACGGTGATTGGTTGTCAGATGACAGGGCCATCATGCGTAACATAAAACAGACTCAACAAATCATGAAATTATGACATCTAAATATGTCTGTGTCCTACACTAAATAATAATAGTAATGTCATTGAAATGCATATATAATGACATGTTTGTGCAGGCCCCAGTGAAGTGTAATTCTAAAAAGGCAGAGAGAGAGAGAGAGAAAAGTCATGAATTAAATTAAATCAAGGTAGCCTAATACCCTAATAATTACCGTCACTTGCCTAATAATGAAAAACGACACTTGCATTAACACTTACTTGGTTAATTGACATCATATTAGCCTAAATAGAAAAATAAACTTAAAACAAGGAAATGTTGCTCCTATTTAGTGTTGCTTTCATCAACGAGACGAAATGTTATTTAACGTTTCGTCTCGTTTAGGCTACTTGCATTATTATTATTATGCAGCATTTCTGTTTCCTGTGTCACTTCAGGGGCTGCATCAGATCGCACTGCACAGACGCAGGCGACTTCACATCCTCAAGCCCCACTCGCAGCATTATTTAGAAGATGCAGCGGCATGAGTTACGGCTGTTTCACACATACTCCGTGTGTAGTGCGTATGCGGTGCGTGTTGCGGTGTGTATGCAGGAGCAGCACGCGCTATTGTGCTTTCACATTTGCTGCGTTTGCAGTGCGCAACTGATCTACGGCTGTACCACAATCACAACATTTATTCTCTATTTTTTATTTCAAATCAATATTTTTAGCCTACATCCATTATGTCGCGTTGTTGAGGTACTGTGTAGATCTCTGCTCTGCTGTTGTGCACGTGCAATAACCTGGAGCGCATTCGCGTGCGGTGTGAGTGCTCTAAAGGCTCTAACATGGGTGCGGGAAAAAATAGGCACCGCAAACGCACTGCAAACTGAGTATGTGTGAAACAGGCGTTAGCATAAACAACAACAAACAAAGTTAAGCCTGACACAGAGAAAGGGATTCGTCTTTGGGAGAAAAAGAAGAATGACATTTGGAAAAACTTTCATTTCATCATGTGTGTAGGCTACTCCTAACATGTTTGGTTGGTAAAATAAATATGTTGTAAATTTAAATCAGAGCGTCTTCCGTGTCTGGAATGGATGTATTCTTGAGTCTATAAGGTAACTATAAAATAATAAGATAACTATAAGATAAGATTGTTTGAAATGGGTTTGGCTAAAAGAAAATTTTGGTTTCGTCTATACTACTAGGTACTTATACTATATGACTGGGTTAAATAGAATTGCATTACTAAAAAGAGACTAAAATACAATTTTCATTGACTAAAACTAGACTATGTCTTTTGTCAACTAAAACTAGACTAAAATGTCATCAGTTTTCGTCGACTAAAACTAGACTAGACTAAAAAGAGTATGAACATTACTAAAACTAATAAAAACTAAAATGACAGCTTGACACAAAGACTAGACTAAAACTAAAATTAAAACAGGGCGCCAAAAACAACACTACTCCTATTGAAAAAATGTAATAGTTGAATGACGGTGGATTATGAACTCGCCAAAATGGAAAAGAAAGCCCAACTGGATGCAGGATCAGTTACTGCTGCTGGCCCAGTTGGTGCTGGAAAAAAAAACATCATAAAAGTGAAATTTGGCACTGGGATATCAAGCAAAACTAAGCGTGAGAATAGGAGAGGATTTGTTTGCAGATCAATGCAGCATTCCCGCTTGTGTCGCGGACCCCGGACGACTGCGAGAGGCGGTGGTATGCGCTACAATCCTTTGTGAATAGGCCTTAGTGAGTTAGGAGTCCTCTCGACTTCTTTTAAGCTGTCCCAGACTTAGGTGCTACTTTTAGGGCTAAAATACTTTGTGAATTACTCTCAGTGAAGAAAATTAGGAGTCCTTAAGTTAGGAGTGACACGCCCATTATTTTTAGGAGTTGCTCCTAAATTCGCCAGTTAGGAGCTACTTTTAGCCTTAAAATTCTTTGTGAATACGGCCCCTGATCTCTATCACCTTCTACTATTAAATCATGTTCACCTGAACTGATCTTAACCACAACATTTTTTGTTTTAGACTGGATGGAAGTGAAGCAAGAACATAAACTGGATGAAGTTAAGGAGGAACATTGTGATTTCAAAACTCAAAAAGAAAAAGCCAAAACACAGCACACCTGCTCTCAGTGTGCAAAGAGTTTTTCTCAAGCATCAAATCTCAGGAATCATCTGCGCATTCACTCTGGAGAAAAACCATTCAACTGTGATCTGTGTGGTAAAGGTTTTCATTCATCATCAGATCTAAAAAAACACCTGAAAGTTCATTCAGATGAAAGACCTCACATGTGTTCTGTCTGTGGAAAGAGTTTTTCAAGGCTGGATCATTTTAAACAGCACCAGAAAACACATAATGAAGTGAGAGATCATGTGTGTGACTGTGGGAAGAGCTTTACTACATCGGGTGAACTGAAACTGCACCAAAGAACTCATACTGGAGAAAAACCTTACAAGTGCTCATATTGTGACAAGAGTTTCACTCAGTCTGGACACTTGAAATCACACGAGCGACTTCATACTGGAGAGAAGCCATACTACTGTACTGAGTGTGAGAAAAGTTTCAAAGATGCAGCAAATCTCAGTGTTCATCTGCACATGCACTCTGGAGAAAAAACATTTAACTGTGATCAGTGTGGGAAAGATTTTAATTCATCATCATATCTCAAAAAACACCTGAGAGTTCATTCAGATGAGAAGCCTCACATGTGTTCTTTCTGTGGAAAGAGTTTTTCAAGACTGGAAAGTTGTAAACGGCACCAGAAAACACATAATGATGTGCGAGATCATGTGTGCTGTGACTGTGGGAAGAGATTTGCTACATCTGGTGAACTGAAACGACACCAAAGAATTCATACGGGAGACAAACCTCACAAGTGCTCATATTGTGACAAGAGTTTCACTCAGTCTGGAACCCTGAAAACACACGAGCGAGTTCATACTGGAGAGAAGCCGTACGACTGCACTCAGTGTGAGAAGAGTTTTAGACATTTACCAAGCTTTCTCACACATATGAAAAAATGTCGTGAGCACCATTTGTTTTCATGTAAAATGCCTCATAAGTAAACAGTGTGCGATAAAATATGGTGTTTTTCCAAAAAGTTTAACTTGTTTAATTTTGTTAGTTTGGTGAAAACTAGAAAGGCTTAAGAGTTGAAGCTTCACCGGTGAACAACTCTTAGTGTAAATAAAATAATTTTAGCTGATTTTTTCTGTCAGGGTGAATTGTGTGCTAAATAGGTCTTATTTTAATTAAATATATTTATGTAATTTAATTGTTTACTAAGTGTAATATATTGTGTTCTGATAGTTCATGCAATTATTAGAAATAAAACAGAAACAACATCTTGTGTTGATTGATCTATTTAATGAACACGACTAATGAGTTATATAGTTTTAATCACATTAATGATCTTTTCATCATTCTATCTTAATACTGTTATAAATAAGTTTGGGATGTACAGTATTATTGTCAAGCAAATGATCAGGTCTTGTATCATACAAAGAGGCTGGAGTTCATTTTTATCCTTCATTATTGACTGCTTAAGATCAATAAAGTACCAACGCTTCAGTTTACCAGATTTTGATGTAGGGCTCCATATTTACCCGTTTGCATTAGTTTAATTTGTTCATTTATATGTCAGCCAGAAATTATTAGCCACATTTCCACTGTCAGTCCTGTGCGAGTGAGGACAGATATCAAAAAAGATTTAATTGTTGTTTCACATAAAATAACATGTACTATCCCCAAGCCTCCCTTTTATTTTTTGGTCACTGGACTGCACAAAACAACTCTTTCAGAGTTTGGATTATTTTTTAATAATATCCCATTAATCCCAATAAATGCAATTTCAACTATTTCTGAAGTGCTTCTTTTATAAAGAACACCGCTTTCTCACATAATGCAGTGAATCAGCCCCTGCATGAGTGAATGATTGATTCTCGAGCCATCGCTATCAACCAATTCAGCAGCACAGCCACGGACAGAACCTGGTAACGTAACACGTAAGAAGGTATATCTTAAAGGTTGTATCAGCGATTTCAGGCAATCCCCAAGAGGAAGAGGAGGATTAGGGCGAGGGAATACCATCGTGTTTATTCCAAGACACAAATAGTTATCGGGAAGCTTTTGAAAGGTGGAGAGAATTTGCGCGTGCATGATCGTTTTTTTTCATGATGCACGAAACGGGAGGGAGAGAGGGGCGAGCTAACTTGGTTTGTTTGGGATCTCGCTTCAAACACAAACAGAAGTGACGTCACCCCCAATCGCTGATACAACCTTTAAGCAACCTCCTAAGGTATAGTTTGAGGGACACGCCTAGAAATGGTATACCTCTAGTTAAGTTATACTTTATAGTCGTCATAGTGCGCTAAGACACAACGTTGTCACAGGATGGAATATAGTGAAGCGAGGATTCAAGTGCTGGATGAAGGATATTAATAAACAAAATAAAACTACAAATAAAAACTCCCCGTGGGGGAAAACGAAACACAAGGAAACTTAGACAACGAACCAGCACAGGACTGCAAACACAGGGAGATTAAATAGGAAGCAAACAAAAGAGGGTAACGAGGAAAGCAGGTGGGGCAAATTAATCAATCAGGTAACAAGATGGGAGGGGCTGGACAATAGAAAGGAGAGCACATGGCACAAGGAATAGGCTTTATGCACAGCTTCACTACTTCCTGAACTTCAGCCAGCCCTTTGTTTCCTGTCTGTCATTATTGGACAAACTGATTAATCCAGGTGTGCCTGATTATTGTTACTGAGGCCAGGCACACCTGAATTAATCAGTTTGTCCAATAATGACAGACAGGAAACAAAGGGCTGGCTGAAGTTCAGGAAGTAGTGAAGCTGTGCATAAAGCCAATTACAAGACAAAGCCAAGTGCTCACAACAAACCAGACTAAACACAAACACATGACAAGCCAGGAATGTCAGAGCTCTGTCACCAAACCAAATATAAACCAGACAGAAGTGACAGAACCCTGACATTACCCCACCTCAAAGGGGACGCCAGAGTGGTTCAGGCTGTGCAGGCGGCCAGGGCGGAGCAGACCGGGCAAGCGTCCAGGGCGGAGCAGACCGGCTATCAGGTGGCCAGGGCAGACCAGACAGTCCATCAGGTGGCCACGGTGAGGACTTCCCCTCAGGCGACCACGGCGGAGACCTCCCCTCGGGCGGCCACAGTGGAGATGGTCTGCCCACTATGGCGGTGGACGTGTAGCCCCCCCAAAAACAATTTATTTAGCGGAGCTATGGGCACAGGCTCCAGGACAGCGGGCATGACATGATGCGCAGGCTCGGCAGGACCAACGTAAAGTGCAGGCTCGGCAGATCCAATGGGGTGCTGGGTCAGCGCCGGAAGGGCGAGATGCTGGGGCGGTGCCGGCAGGGCGAGACGCCTAGGGACAGTCTCAGGACTGACAGCAACCTTAGGAATGACCTCCGGGTCATTTGGAAGGCAGGAAGTCTTCCTCCTCCTCCACCGTTTCCGAGAACAAGTGGACGCTGCGGTCTCTTCGGAACCCACACGGGTCACTGCAGCCTCCTCGGAACCCACTGGGAGCACTGCAGCCTCTTCGGAACCTACTGGGGATGCTGCAGGCCTTTCGGGACCCACTGGGAGCATTGCAGCCTCTTCGGAAACCACTGGGGATGCTGCAGGCCTTTCGGGACCCACTGGGAGCGCAGCAGCCTCTTAGGAATTCAGATCAGGGGAAGCAGCAGAAGTCCTCCTCCTGCGCCCACGAGGGTGAGAAGGCCTGGGAACCACCGCCCCCTCCAGGACGACTGCAGCCTCCCTAACTGGAGGACTCCCTCGACGATCCAGAAAATCAATGAACTTCCAAAACGTCATGTTTAGGGCTTGAAAATGTAAAGACAATGTCTTACAATAACAGAACAGCATATAAAGTGTCTTTACTGTGAAGCCAAATCTTTTGACATAAGAGGTCATTGATCCCCCTTTCAGCCCTCAAGATTAACTGCATTTAAGTCTTACTTCACAAAATCTAGTGTCTGGGGTGCCTCCGGGCTCAGTGCTTGGACCACTTTTTTTCTCCATCTACATGTCATCACTAGGAGCTGTCATTCAGATTTTTTTTTTTTCCTATTACTGTTATGCTTATGACACACACCTCTACCTCTCGTTCCAGCCTGATGATCCGACGGTAGATGCCCGTATCTTAGCCTGCCTGACAGACATTTCTTGCTGGCTGAAGGACCACCTTCAACTCAATCTGAGGATTACAAGACGTTTTGCTGTGCCTAGTTGTAGAAAAACACAGCCTTTGCCATCCTAACATTAAGAAAGCGTGGATGAACTTTATTTTATTGAAGTTCTAGATCATATCAATTCTATTCAACTCACATTTATTTATATTTAGCTTCTCACAATACACATCGTTTTCAAGCAGCTTTACAGAAAATGCATGTGTTTACATTACAATTTAGAATGATTTGTTATCAGAGGTGACTATGTCCAAGTTATGTATTTCAGAAATGTTCATATAGACAAATCATGCAGTTAATGTATTAATTTAAGGCGGAAACAATGAGCTGATTGAAGTAATTAATACATGTTGTTAACAAACGACTAGGATTTATAGAAAATTTAGCATTGGTGTGTGTTGATTCAGTGTCAGTAGACACTGTTTGTTTGTTTGCTTAATTTTACTTTGGATTAATTTTTAAATAACACAGTTTGACTTACGCTTTTCAGAGAGACTGAAAATAAAAGATGATGCGGTGCTGACTACATTGGATCCGACCACAATGTCGCAACACACTTGTGTAATATTGTTTTTATCATGTTTCTATTATTGCTTTGTTTGTTACATATCTTTTGACATGTACAGAGTATCTATGCCCGCCACAATCGAACTGTGAATAGTTGTGATTTGTGGTTCTTTCCTTTGCTTCAGCATTTAATGGGTTAAGACAGGGATTTCCAAATAAGAAATAAATCATGTAGAGAACACTTCTTTTTTATTGTTTTGATGGAAGCTATTCGCTGTTATCCTGAATAAAAGCTTCAGTGTTTTATGAAAACATCTTCTGTTTTGTCATCAATAAGACATTACAATATGTTTTATTTTATTTAAATGCTGTCAACGTTAATGTGTGAATGCATGTGATTCAATTCTTCAGTTTATCACTGTAAAACTATTTTACACAATTAACGCAGCATTGCAAGACGCAAATGAGACGCTCGTCAGATTCACATCTTAAAGTGACAGCAGCCACTAATGCTGTCTGTCATTAATGTTAATCAAATACAAAGGTAACAGAGAAAATTACTCACTGTCAGAAAATTACTCATTTATGCAGTGCAGACTATTTGACAACTTTATTCAATGTCTGTATTTTTCACAGGGCACAGGTAAATATGACATGTATTATGGGTTTATGTGAAGATTGTTTTAAGTTCACTTAAATTAAAAGTTCTTATACTTTTGAAGTCTAATAAATGTAAAAGCAAATGTTAGATTTCAATTACACTGCAATGGCCTTCATTAAAATATGCCATTTAACAAGTATTTAAAATATACTGTCTTTATGTTGTTTCTACATTCATTTGGAGATTATTATTACATTATAAAATATATCAAAAACATATGTGTTTTTAATTGCGATTAATCACAGATTCACGAGTTCACACTTACATTCAATTAGAGGGGGTAAAGTTTAATGCGTATTTGGCGTGCTGTCCGGGGGGGAGGGCTCCGAGCTCCGAGTTCGGCCCGAAGCCAGAGTACTCCTCCCCTTGTAAGTAGTCAGGACTAGAAGTGTGGAGAAGGGGCGGTGGAGGGGTGCTGCTAAACTGTCAATGGATTGAGGTGAGACTGCTGAGTCTATGTATACACCTCTTATCTTTGATTGTTGAGTGCTCTCCACCTGTGTTAATTATCTGAACATGCTCCTCCAGAACTTTGTTAATAAAACATAATTTCACGAGTTCACACTTACATACAATTAGAGGGGGTAAAGTTTCATGCGTATTTGGTGTGCTGTCCGGGGGAGGGCTCCGAGCTCGGAGTTCAGCCCGAACCCAGAGTACTCCCCCCCAAAAGTTTAAAGAGCAGAGGACAGCCGCCGGACTAAAGACCCCCCAAATGAGTGCCGAGTTTGGCGGGCTGGCATCTCGAGAAAGGGTGCTTGGCCAGGAGGGCCCGTGGTGGCGGCTCACTGCGCTGGACTGACGGGCCCTGTTGGCCCGCGAATGGGGAGCAGTTGTATTTTGGAATGACAAATTTGTGAGAGGTGCCTTTCTTGATGGGAGCTGTTCGCGCAAATCATGGACGACAGACCGAGAGGCTCATGTAGCTTCGACGGGGGCGGCTTGCGGTCGTCTGGGCCTATCCGCCGACGGTGGAGTGGCCATTCCGATCTAGGCTTACAGGAAAATTTTCGCTGTGTGTGCTGTGAGACCAAATGCTTGCTGGAAAAAAGAGGAAACAGGAAAGAGGAAATTGAGTACTCAACCGGGATATTTTCTCACACTGCGTCCGCTGTGGGACCAAATGCTCGCTGGACGAAAGAGAAAACATAACTGCTCTACCGGGAAAGTTCTCACTG